GGCCAAAGACCATTCTACGCTCACCTCATCTTAAAGACTTAGCTGAATGCATATCACCTAAAATCATAAATGGATACAAAGTACCTGAAATCAATATTCAAAGAGTCCTAAGTAATGTGCTGCTTTGACTCCATTCTTTCCCAGGGAGGTGCACATGCACCCTCTCACTCAAGAGCCTGAGAGAATAAAAGGGATGTTATAACTGGCTCTTTACAGCAAATTAAAGACTTGAACCAAACTCCTATTGGAAGAGTTTCCCAAGATCACTGCCAACAAGTTCTCACAGCACTTGGATTCACAAGGGACCCCTGGGGTGCTGGGCCATCCCGCCTTTCTTGCTTGCCTCCCGTAGGCTCTCTGTCCATGCTGCTCTTTCTAAAGGTTATTATTCCCTGTTTGCTGACTGCTGCCTCCAGTCAAATGTCAAGTTCAGAAGTTCCTTTGAAGAACCGTAATTAAGAGGGCTCAACTTAATTCTAAAATAAACTTTAGGTTTTCAAGACAAATTGTTCTTTACAGAAAATGAACTTTTTATTTATGTATTATTTATTTATTTTTAAAATCTTTTTTATAGTTTATTGTCATGTTGGTTTCCATATAACACCCAGTGCTCATCCCAACAAGTGCCCTCCTCCATGCCCATCACCCCCCTTCCCCTCTCCCCCAACCCATCAACCCTCAGTTTGTTCTCAGTATTTAAGAGTCTCTCATGGATTGCCTCCCTCCTTCTCCTTGACATTTTTCCCCCTTCCCCACCCCCATGGTCCTCTGTTAAGTTTCTCCTGTTCCACATATGAGTGAAAACATACGGTATCTGTCTTTCTCTGCCTGACTTATTTTGCTCAGCATAACACCCTCAAGGTCCATCCATGTTGCTACACATGGCCAGATTTCATTCTTTCTCATTGCCATGTAGTATTCCATTGTATAGATAAACCACATCTTCTTGATCCATTTGTCCGTTGATGGACACTGAGGCTGTTTCCATGTTTTGGCTATTGTGGAGAGTGCTGCTATGAACATTGGGGTACATGTGCCCCTATGCCTCAGCATTTCTGTATCCCTTGGGTAAATTCCTAGCAGTGCTATTGCTGGGTCATAGAGGAGTTCACTGTTAATTTTTTGAGGAACCTCCACACTGTTTTCCAGAGGGGCTGCACCAGTTTACATTCCCACCAACAGTGTAGGAGGGTGCCCGTTTCTCCACATCCTCACCAGCATCTATAGTCTCTTGATTTGTTCATTTTAGCCACTCTGACCAGCGTGAGGTGGTATCTCAGTGTGGTTTTAATTTGTATTTCCCTGATGATGAGTGACGCTGAGCATCGTTTCATGTGTCTGTTGGCCATCTGGATGTCTTCTTTGGAGAATTATCTGGTCATGTCTTCCACCCATCTCTTCACTGGATTGTTTTCTGGGTGTGGACTTCTGTGAGTTCCTTATAGATTTTGGATACTAGCCCTTTATCCGATATGTCATTTGCAACTATCTTTTCCCATTCCATCAGTTGCCTATTAGTTTTGTTGATTGTTTCCTTTGCTGTGCAGAAGCTTTTTATCTTGATGAGGTCCCAATAGTTCATTTTTGCTTTTGGTTGTCTTGCCTTTGGACATGTGTCAAGTAAGAAATTGCTGTGGCTGAGATTGAGAAGGTTGATTCCTGCTTTCTCCTCTAGGGTTTTGATGGTTTCCTGTCTCACATTCAGCTTCTTCATCCATTTTGAGTTTATATTTGTGTATGGTGCAAGAAAGTGGTCTAGTTTCATTCTTCTGCATGTTGCTGTCCAGTTCTCCCAGCACCATCTGTTAAAAGAGGCTGTCTTTTTTCCATTGGATACTCTTTCTTGCTTTGTCAAAGATTAGTTGGCCATACATTTATGGGTCCAATTCTGGGTTCTCTGTTCTATGTGTCGGTTTTTGTGCCAATACCATACTGTCTTGATGATTACCGCTTTGTACTTATTTATTTATTTATTTATTTATTTATTTTTAAAATAAAGGAAGTCAGTTTCCAACTCCTGGGCTAATTGGCAAAATGCTACAAAGAAGGGAATGAACATATAAACATGAAATACTTTTCTTTTAGCTTTCTAGGTTAGAGTGAATTTTTCAAATAATCTAAATTATTTTTATAATCTAACTGTAATCTAAATTCTAATATAGGGGTGCCTGGGTGACTCAGTCAGTTGAGTGTGAGCATCTGACTTCCGCTCAGGTCACGATCTCATGGTTTGTGAGTTTGAGCCCTGCATCGGGCTCTCTGCTGACAGCACAGAGCCCAGTTAGGATCCTCTGTACCCTTCTCTTACTGCCTCTCCCCTTCTCTCAAAAATAAACTTTAAAAATAAATATAAATAAATAAATAAGTAAATTCTAATCTACTTCTTATTTTTTTAATGTTTTATTTATTTCTGACAGAGAGAGACAGTGTGAGTAGGGGAGGGTCAGAGAAAGAGGGAGATACAGATACTGAAACAGGCTCAAGGCTCTGAGCTGTCCGCACAGAGCCTGATGCGGGGCTCGAACCCATGAACTGTGAGATCATGACCTGAGCCAAAGTCGGACACTTAGCTGACTGGGCCACTCAGGTGCCCTTAATCTATTTTTATAAGCTAAAATTCTAACAGCTAAACATCTTCTTCAAGCCTACCTTTTTTATTCTCTGCTTCTCTTTATGCCACTGCTTATTCTAATAAGTATATAAGGTACCATACTAAGCATAAACATAAATTGTGAACTGCAACAGCCAGGAAGCAAAGTTGTTACATGTATTTTGAGAAAAAGAGTATGTTAGCATTCTTGGACTTCAGAGCACAAAATAGTCCCGAAAACTGTGCAAAGATAAGATTTGAATTTGGGGAAACGTTTGCTTGAAACTTTTTCATGATGTGTTGGCCCTTGTTTTCTCTCTGTAAGCCAGGTGCTACTTTGAGAACATTGTGGAATGTATGATTTTTTGGCCGCTGATGGCTGTCCAGATCTACAATCGTTATAGATAGCATAGGAAAGAATCCCAAACGTCCCCTGAACCCTGTCTCCTTTCTTTGGGACACACGGTCCTCAAGATTCAACCACCTTGGCAATTCTCAAGTCTCCCTTTGGACACTGCGATGGGGATGAATTTTAACAAAAAATAATTAGTTCAGTCAAAAGGACTGTCTTCTCGACAAATGGTCCTGGAATAGCTGGATCTCTATCTGCTGAAAAATGAACTTTAACCCACAACTCACATCATATACAAAAATTAGCTCAAAATGTAGATGTAAAATATAAAACTACAAAACTCTCAGAAGAAAACACAGGAGGAATGCATCACGACCTTGGATTAGGCCAAACATTTTTAGATATCCTATGAAAAGCATGATCCATAAAAGAAAAAAATTGATGAATTTGACATTATCATAATTAAAAACTTTTGGGGTAAAGTATTTTACAAATCACATGTCCGATGACAGACTTGTCCCCAGAATATGTAAAGAATTCTCGAAACTCAAAAATAAGAAAACTGGGGATCCTATTAGAAATTAGGCAAAAAGGGGCACCTAGGTGGCTTAGTCGTTTAAGTGTCTGACTTTGAATCAGGTCATAATCTCACAGTTTGTGAGTTCAAACCCCACACTGGGCTCTGTGCTGACAGCTCAGACCCTAGAGCCTGCTTCAGATTCTGTGTCTCCCTCTCTCTCTGCCCCTCCCCCGCTCATACTCTATCTCTCTCTCCCTTTCAAAAACACTAACAAAAATTTTAGGGGCACCTGGGTGGCTCAGTCGGCTAAGCATCCGACTTCAGCTCAGGTCATGATCTCAGGTTTGTGAGTTCGAGTCCCGAGTTGCGCTCTGTACTGACAACTCAGAGCCTGGAGCCTGCTTCAGATTCTGTGTCTCCCTCTCTCTCTGCCCCTCTCACGCTCATGCTCTGTCTCTGTCTCTCAGAAATAAATAAAACATTTAAAAAAAAAAAGGAAGTGTTGCTTTCAGACTTTAATGAAAACAAAAGCTGATGGAGGGAACTACACGCATATGAAATAAAATCCAAACTCCTTTGTAGACAACATTCTCCAGCCTCATCTGGCCAGTCTCTTGGTCAGTCCACTATGTTCCAGCCCCAATGCACTTCTTGTAGTACTTAGAATACCCAGAGCTCTTTTAGCCACAGGGCCTTCGCACCTGCTGTTTCCTTTCCTTTGCACTTTGCTCTTTCCTTCTGCCTTCTCCCCACTGGCTCCCGCTCTTCCTTCTGATCAAATGCCATCTTCTCAATGATGCTTTTCTTGATTTCTCTTCCTGATACACTCCTCACCTCCTCTGATCTGTGTCCCCAGAACTTTTGTTGTTTCCTTCATATCTCTTACCATAACCTATTTTGTTACATTTTATTATCTGTTTTCCCCACAGGATTTAATGCCCCGTGATGGTAGGGACTGGGACCGATTTGTTCATTGGTACATCCTCAGTACGTAGCACAGTGCTGGGCTTTTAGTAGCATCTCAGGAAATACTCATATGCATGACTGAATTTAGTGTAAGGTATAGTTCTGTTTCCACAAGGGATCCCTGAAGATGTGAAAATTTCCTTATCAAAGGAATGAAATTATGATAAGCAGAAAGTATGCATGGGGTTGATATTTTAGATCAAGGAGGCCTTCTTGTGTGACTTTTCTTCCAGTTAGCACCATCTGATTTGCTAACCCAGAGAGCCGATAGGACTCTTTTTGGAGAAAGTTAAAAAAAAAAAACACCACCACCACCAAAAAACAAAAACCTGAAGACAAAAGATTATCTATTTGGGGCCCTTTGGACTGTTCATACAGCTGGAGACATTAATTTGAAGGGGTGACCTGTACATCTAAGAAATATTTGTTTCCAGACTTCTAGATCCAGAACAATAAAGAATGATTGCACAATTTGCCACATATCAGACAGTCAAAGACACAGTGCTTAATAATTGTATGATGACTTTGGGATTGACTTTGCTTTACAAAAATTTTTATTCTTTAATCTACAGGTCACAGCTTTCGTCTGCGTGAACACAGATGGCTTTGTTACGAAAAAGTAAGATTGCAGCTTTTGACAATCGTGATTATTAAAAATAGATATTTTAAAGGACTGGTTTTTAAAAATGTTTTTATGTTTATTTATTTTTGAGAGAGAAAGATAGGTCATGAGCAGGGGAGGGGCAGAGAGAGGGAGACACAGAACCCAAAGCAGGCTCCAGGCTCTGAGCTGTCAGCACAGAGACCAACACGGGGCTCGAATCCACGAACTATGAGATCATGACCTGAGCCAAAGTCGGATGCTTAACTGACTGAGCCACCCTTGCATCCCTTAAAGGACTGTTTTGATGCTGGGTCTTGGATTATCTTGTTTTTGAGATCTTTGTTTTCATGAATAGTTTTCCTACAGGCAGTCCTTGGCATCATCATTTTAGGATGATTCATGCAGAAAGTTGTTAGGTATTTTGTCCACAGGTGAGTTTATCATGAAAAGGGGCATACATTTCTATAAAACTTATGAATATAATTTATTTTCTCTCTTTAAATAAATATTCATGTTCCTATCTAATTTTAGCGCTATAATTTTGTGTTTCTATTCTTACGATTGATTGATTGATTGATTCATTCATTCATTCATTCATTCATTTAAGTAATCTCTACACCCAGTGTGGGGCCCCAACTCACAACCCCCAAACCAAGAGTCACATGCTTCTCCCACTGAGCCAGCCAGATGCCCCTTGTGTCCCTATTCTTAAGAGTTGCCTTATATTATATAATCCTGAGACTCCATCAAAACCTGAATTTGCCCTTGATTTTAGATCTAGTAGTTTGTGAACCTGGGATGAAACATAGTAACCTAATTGTGTTACTGTTAGCCTGAGGGCAGAGCTGTCTAATACAGCAGATGACAAGACAAGACTTGCAGTTAGATTTGAAGTACAGATTAACTATGAATCATATGTTAATCTAAGCATATGCCAAATACTGCAGAGGACATACATATACTAAGAAGAGTCAAGTGTTAAAAGACATTGAGTTGCTTCCCCAACTGGCTGTGGCAGGTGAATACTAATCAGACATCCTGATAAACTATAGGGCTTTCTTCCTCATCTTCTGTTTCTCTATAGTTTTGTTTTAAACTGAGTCTCGTATCCAGTTGTCTCTGGCTGAATTTCATAGTCAAGAAAGGCGGAGACAGACTGGATGTAAGCACAGTAGAATCACTGAGCCTCGGAATGTCGCTCTGGAAGATATCCATGAAGACCAACTCCTTCTTTCTACAGGAGTGAAGACAAAGGCCCAGGGGCCAGAAAATAGATCAGTATGAGGCCAACGAATGTAAATATCTCAATGGGCAAAAACAGTAAATGTTAGGGGCACCTGGGTGGCTCAGTCCATTGAGTGTCTGACTCTTGATTTCAGCTCAGGTCATGATCTCACGGTTCCTGAGTATGAGCCCCGCATCAGGCTCTGAGCTGACAGCACTGAGCCTGCTTGGGATACTCTCTCTCCCTCTCTCTCTCTCTGTCACTCCCTCTTTTGTGCTTACTCTCTTTCTCAAAAATGAATAAATGAACTAAAAAAATAGTAAATGGTAATACATGACAATTATAAAGTCTTTATTAGGCTTACATTGCCTTTGTTAACTCTCAAAACCCCCATGTGAGATGATGATTATTATTACAATTATAAATCCTCATTGAGCAGATGAGGAAGCTGAGGCTCAGAGAGGTTCAGTAACCTGCCAAAGGCCACACAGCTAAGAGGTGGCAGAAATAAGATTTGAGTGTGACTTGAAGTCCTGGCCCTTTCCTCTCCTACCAACACTTTCCAAACTTCAGGTGCCTGTTTTCTGCATATAGCAATGCACCACCTTCTCAGGTTTTCATCATCTGTGTTTCTTCTGTCCTATGCATGACTTACTGTTTTCTTGACTTATTTAAAAGTTATGTGTACTTTATAATAGATAGTGTATATCCTGGGGTGCCTGAGTCGTTCAGTCGGTTAAGCATCCAACTTTGGCTCAGATCGTGATCTCATGGTTCACAAGTTCGAGCCCTGTATTGGGCTCTGTGCTAACAGCTCAGCACCTGGAGATTTCTTTGGATTCTGTGTCTCCCTCTCCCTCAGCCCCTACCCCACTAGTACTCTGTCTCTGTCTCTCTGTCTCAAAACTAAATAAAAACATTAAAAAATAAAAACAAGAAAATGTATGTCTTTACTGTCACTAGAATAAACTATCTCCTATTGTACAAAGAATGTGATCATACAAATATATATGATTGGAACAATGTAATTCACTTCTGGGTAGCTTTTGTCACCTGCCTGCACATGAAATTAAAACTGATTTCTCAGGCTGTGACTTAATGTTACCTAATGCCATGATCATGAGCCTCTGAAACCATCTTGTGTACCATCAGTGGTGTGTGCTCCGTACTTCAGAAAACACTGTCCTATGTCACTCTGTTTCTCAGCAGTTCCCAAGGGAATCTGGAACAGATGGTCCTGAATGCTCAGAACTGGAAAAGGTATTTGGGTTTTCTGGCCTCTTAGTCAGGGCAAGAATTTTTTGTATGTCATCCTTGCCCAGTGTTTGAATGAACTGAGAAGCAGCTCTGTTGTAACAGCTAAGAACATACACTCATAATAAGTACTGGCTCACCATAAGCATTATATAAATGTTGGCTGTTAATTGAAACAAAATGCTCACACACAGAAATTGGCTCCAGACACAGCATCATGTTGGCATTAAGGTTTTAGCCTCTCCCATCAGGCCGCCTGGGAATAGCCCGGATCCTCCTTAAACTACGTGTCTGTACCCTTGAGTAGCAACAGTATCCCAGGTTAACCCTTTATTCCACATGCCACCTGCTGAAAGGAAGGTCCCGGACCACACCCGGATCCATGTCAGGGAAGGCATCTGCTTGTACAACTATTCTAAACTTTCCCACAATTTCAGCTCGAGAGGTCACACCTAAATGTGTTTCTGTTTTTATTTCAGTTAATCAGGTGTTGCTGTTCCTTCTGATTGTGACCCTCTGTGGGATTCTGTATAAGAAAGTTCATAAGGGGACTGTGCTCAGGAACGAAACAGGTAGGCTAAGTGAAAGAAGCTGGTACCAAAAGACACATACTGTGATTCCTCTTGTATGAGGGACTTCGCTAGTCACAGTCATCCAGTCAGGAAGTATAATGATGGTTGACAGGCGCCGGGGTGGGGGGGATGGGGAGTTCTTGTTTAAGGGGTAGAAGTTGCAGTTTTGTGAGTTTATAAAAGTCTTACTTATAAAAGTTTTACAAGAATTGTAGGGACAGGGTAGTGGTGATAGTGCAACAATGTGAATGTATTTAATACAGCAACTATGCATTTAAAAAATGGTTAAGATGGGGGCGCCTGGGTGGCTCAGTCGGTTAAGCTCAGGTCATGATCTCACGGTTTGTGGGTTTGAGCCCTGTGTCGGGCTCTGTGCTGACAGCTCAGAGCCTGGAGCCTGCTTCAGATTCCGTGTCTCCCTCGCTCTCTGCCCCTCCCACACTCATGCTCTGTCTCTCTCTGTCTCAGTAATAAATAAACATTAAAAAAAATTTTTTTAATGATTAAGATGATAAATTTTAAGTGTTTTTATTACAATCATTTTTTAAAAAAGAATAAAGCAGGTAAATAAGCATGTAACGCATCAAAATGGGATAACTGTGGATGTGATTTAAATACATTCCTTTGCTTCCTTTCAGTAGCTGGGTTCAGAGACAAGCTCCCAAGGACCTGCTTGTGAGAATATCCATCCAAGGCCAACTTTCCAGTGATATTCTAGAATGATCCGTGCTACTCAAACGTTAGCACGTATAAGAATCACAACTGGGGTTTGTTAAACACAGTACGTGGACCCACCCTGAGAGATTTTGAGTCAGTAGATTTGGGGCGGGGCCTGAGAAGGGCATGCGTTTCTGATACGCTCCCGGTTGATGTTGCACTTGGTTCTCGGACCTCACTTGTGGCGACTTGCTCTACACTCAGCTTGGAGTCTCTCGATAATTTTGCTTTATGCAATCGCCTTCTCTGTCTTCTCATCAGTTCACCAGTAGCCTCAGAACTTTCAACTTAGAAATGGTCCCACATTGACCCTACATCCTCTTCCAGCTGTGCTGAGGAGCCCAGTTTCCCTCCCGAGGAGTGAATTGCTTGAGACGGCACCTTCCCAACTTCTAAACACACAAAGTCAACCTTCACAGAAATTAAGAAACACTGTATCCTGTTTATTATATTTTTAAATGATTTATTTATTTACAAAGATTTTCTTTTTAAGTAATCTCTACACCCAATGTGGGGCTCCACCTTGCAACCCTGAGATCAGAGTTGCACAAACCTTCGGCTGAAATATCCAGGCGCCCCTATTTTTAAATAATTTAGATTAATTTTATACAAGTCATGCAAATAAATTTATGGAAAATACAGAAGAGAAAGATATTACCTGTAGCTATATCATCCAAAGACAAATACAGTTAATATTTTGGTGCATTATATACATTCATTTTGTACTTTTTTTTTTTTTAACCAGAGGCTTTGGCACTGGACACACAACAGTGAAAAAAACAAAACCCCTACTTTCACAAAGCTGACTTATTTTAATATAAAAATTCATTTAAGAAAAACCATGAAGGGAAGTCTGGGTGGCTCAGTCGGTTAAGCATCTGATTCTTGATTTCTGCTTGGGTCGTGATCTCAGGGTTCACAAGATAGAGCCCCATGTCTGGCTCTCTGCGACAGTGTCTGCTTGGGGTGCTCTCTCTCTCTCTCTCTCTCTCTCTGTCCCTCCTCCCTTCTCAAAAATAAATAAATAAACTTTAAAAAACAGTTAAAAACACATATAATCTGGTCTAAATAAACATGAAGAGCATCTGGAAAGGGAATGATTTCCACATAAAGATGCGCATACAAATTTGTCCAGGACGTCATTCTTTGTAGCCCCAGTTGGAAACAATCCACATGTAAATCAACTAGTGATGAGATACAATGTAGTATATCTACACAATGAAGCCCTTTCCAACCCCAAGAAGCAACAGACTACTAACATGTGCTCCAATGTGAATAAAACTCACAGATTATGCTAAATTGAAGAAACCAGATCTGAAAGTCCACATATTATATGATTCCATTTATAGAAGTTTCTAGAAAAGACAAATCTACACAGAAAAGAGAATAGTGGTTGCCAGGGGCTGAGAGCTGGAGTGGATTGACTATTACTCAGTTTAAGCAAATTTTTCAGAGAGGTGAACTTTTTTTTTTTTTTTTTTGAGAGAGAGAGTGCAAGCAGGGGAAGGGAAGAGGGAGAGAGAGAGAGAGAGAGAGAGAGAGAGAGAGAGAATCCCAAACAAACTCCACGTTCAGCACAAAGCCCGACTCTGGGCTCAATCCCACAACCCTGGGATTATGATCTGAGCCAAAATCAAGAGTTGGATACTCCACCAACTGAGCCACCAGGCGCCTCTGGCAACAGTCTAAAGTGGGATTGTGGTAATGGTTGTGCAACTCTGTCAATTTACTAAAAATCATGGAATTGTATATCTAAAATAGGAAACTTTTTATATCTAAAATAGAAATTTCCACTATTTCCAAATTTTAAGAAATCTGTTAGTCAGCCTGGACTGCCTTAAGAAAGTACCACAGACTATGGGGCACCTGGGTGGCTCAGTCAGTTAGGTGTCCAACTTCGGCTCAGGTCATGATCTTACAGATCATGGGTTCGAGCCCCACATCAGGCTCTGTGCTGACAGCTCAGAGCCTGGAGCCTGCTTCATTCTGTGTCTCCCTCTCTCTCTCTGCTCCTCCCCCGCTCATACTCTGTCTGTCTCTATCAAAAATGAGTAAATGTTTAAAAAATTTGTTAATAAAAAAAGAAAGTACCACAGACTAGGTAGCTTACACAAAAGAAATCTGTTTTCTCACAGACCTGGAGGCTGGAAGCCTGGGCGCCAGCAGTGCTGGTTTCTCCCAAGGCTTCTCTTCCAGGCTCAGTCAGCTGCCTTCTCCTTGAGTCCTCAGATGACTTTTCCTGTGTGTTCCCATCTCTGCCGTCCCTGCCTCTTCTTATAAGAACCAGTCATACTGGATTAAGTCCTCATCCTAATGGCCTCAGTTTCATTTAATTGCTCCTTATAGGCTCCGTCCTCAAATGCAGTCACATCCCAAGGTACTAGGGTTTAGTGCTTCCACACACTGATTTACACAATTCAGTCCTAACGATAGCTACCTTATGCCTCAATAGAGATAGGAAGCCATAGGAAGTCAAAAGTTGTCTGAACTTCAAGTTCCTGACTCTTCACACGTCACTCCCTGCCCATAAACCAACACATTTGGCCACTTGAATCCCCTGCAAACTCTTCTCTCCAGAGAGAAGCACGTAGCTTTTGTTACAGCTGTTAAAACAACTGTAAGGAAATGCACATCATGACTTATTAATCAACCGTATACTCATAAACAAAGTATTTGGAACACATGAATGGCTTCACTATCACATTTTTATCCCATTCAGTGTTAAGAAGAATCAGTGTTATGAAATAACATTCAAGAGACTATAATGTTGAGATGGAAGCAAGTTGTGGAAAACCATGAAAAGTATGATTTCATTTTGGTTTTAAAATAACATATGTAGGTGGTATATTTCCTTTTAGAATAACACAGAGAAGGATTTGAGAGGCACATACTGCGTGGGTAACAGAGATCTACCTTTGGAATGGGGTAGAAAAGTCTGCAGAAAACCATCATGTCTTACTGGAATTTGAGGCTGGAAGTTTTTCAAGAAGTGCATATCAGTAATTTTAATAGACTATTTTTTAGAGCAGTTTTAGGTTCATAGCAAAATTGAGTGGAAGGTACACAGTCTCCCCCACTAGTAACACCCCCCACCAGATGGTACATTAGTTACAACTGATGGACCTACATGGACACATCATTACCACCCAATGTCCACAGTTTACATTAGGATTCACTCTTGATGTTGTACTTGGGTTGTGAGAAATGTATAATGACATTAATCTACCATTACAGAATACAGGGTAGTTTCATTGCCCCCAAAATCCTTAGTACTTTGCCTATTTCATATTAATTTTTATATTTTCAAAAATCGTAAAATTCAAGAACTGGTGTTCTAAGGTAAAGTCCAGAAGCCCTATGAAATCATTTGCTGAAGAAAGGCATAGTGCCATTTTGTGTGTTCTGATAATGACATTCCATCTAATCTCCTGGTCATTTTTTTGTGATTAGCTGGGGATTCACTCCTGGGCCGTTTGAGGTGAGACAAGTTTATAGACTCGGCTAAAAACAATCCTACTTTGAAATGGGATCCAAATATTTGGCAGCTAGGAGAGTAGACATTTCACCTTTTCTAGAAATGGGCATGGACTGATAAGAGCTGCTTGTGGGAAGGGACTAATGCAACACAATACATTTCCAGTCCATACCGCCATCAGCACGATGCTTTCTAGAGATGGTACAGGCACCAAGCGGTTTCACATAGCCAGACCTTTTGGTGAATTGGTATAGGCACCAACTGGCACAATGGATCCCAATAGTACCAACAGGTGATTCCCAAAGAAGCTGCGATGATGAAATGCTGGTGAAGAGTTTACAGCTAATAAATCTTTCCCAGTCTTTCTTCAGGGTGTCTTCATCCATATCCTGTCCAGGGAAGACTTCTTGGCAAAGAGCAGCACTTTTGGCTTAGGTTAGTTTCCCAGCGCCTCTGACTGGCAGAGTCCCCTAAGAAGCCTGGCAGTGTGACATGTCTGCAAACGTGGTGTTTGATCTCTCGGGTGGCCCTCTTTCATGGGGACACCTTCCTCCTCCCTCATTCTGTCTGTTGCCTGAGAGCCTGGTTCTGCCCCAGCTTTTCAGCCCTCCTCTCTCCCTTTGCCCCTAGGAGTAGTCAAAGAATCATTCCTCCAGAGCCCTGTTCTGTACCATCAACGCATCAGTTCAGTTCATTTCAGTCCAGCAAACTTTTATGAAGTGCTTCTTAGGTGCCAGACTCAGCAGGGAAAATATAATGAGCTCACAGTTTGGTGAAGGAGACAGATGCATGAATAGATTCTTTCTGTGCAGTGTGGTAAATGCTCAAATAGAGGTATTTAAAAAACTCACCCATCCATGCATCCATCCCTCCAAAATGTAGTGAGAATCTGCTTGGGGTCCAGGCACTGTGCTAGCCGCAAATGAAGAGGCAGAGATGAACAAGATACTGTCTCGGCCCTCATAGGAGAGAAAGGGAAAGCATGCGACCAAATAAATTGTGACCACAAACAAGGACAAAGCGAGTGGCGTGTAAGGAGCTGTTAAAGGCTTCCCGAAGGTTCTGGTGTCTACCTTGCATTTGGAATGAATGTGTAAAAGTTAGCCCTGCAGGAAAGGATGGAAAGAGCATTCCAGGCATCTGGAACAGTATGTGCGAGGGCACTGAGAAAAGAGACAACCCGGTGCAGTGTTCAGGGAGGCACAAAGAGTTTGGTGTTGCTGGAATAGGAGGCTAGGGAAGGGAGCAGGGGCTGGGTCATGAGGCGCCCTGTGTGCCAGGCAAAGGAAGGTGGCTTTCCCTTACAGGAACCACTGGAGAATGGTGAGTGGTGAAGAAACGTAGTCACATTTCCATTTGGGGAAGTTCACTTCCCTGCCTGCAGGTAACATACCGCATGATTAGGGAACCTCCCCAAACTGATGGTTGAGTCCAAAAGGAATAATCCCTTAAGAAATATTTTCTTCTTTGTTTACAAAAGTAACCATGGTTGGGGCACCTGGGTGGCTCAATTGGTTAAACGTCCGACTTCAGCTCAGGTCATGATCTCATGGTTTGTAGGTTCAAATCTTGCGTTGGGCTCTGTGCTGACAGCTCGGAGCCTGCCGCCTGCTTCAGATACTGCGTCTCCCTGTCTCTCTCTGCCCCTCCCCTGCTTGTGCTCTCTCTCAAAAATAAGTAAATAAGCATTACCAAAAAAATGTATCGTGGTTGCTTTAGAGAATTTGGAAAATATAAGAAATGCAAATAAAGAAATTGAAATCACACATACTTCCATAAACAGATGTAGATCCATTTCAAAATATGTATGTTTGTATATATCCCATTGGGATCATACACTAGATGAGATTCCTGTGGTGATTTTGTGTATCAAATACTAGAGAGAATTTTTGTATTCTTTTTCCCCTTAGTGTTGTATAAAGAGCATTCTCTCGTGCCAGTAAATATACTGTGAAATTAGAATTATTCTCGTGACGGACATTTCACATGTGGTGGCCAGCCTGTGGAAGAGATGTAGGAGGAGAAGGGGGAGGCCCTTCAGTGTTTTTTAAGTTACATAAAGCACAGTCCCTGGTGGTTAGTTTATATATTTGTTGGATTAAATATCAGCTAGAACTGCCCTGCATCTGAATGGTACTTATCTGTAAAGAGAGAGAGAGAGCTTGAAGTAAAAACCAGAAGGGCATCTGATAGTGGATACTCTATATACTGATAATTATTATCCTTCCTACCAGAAAATTGTACTGTGGTGCCAAAATAGGATGTTACAACACTGGCATTTTATATCACAGCCACAGCTCAAAGGAACAATCAATTATTCATCTTGTGCATTAGTCATGCTCTTTCATTTTCCACATTTCTCTTACTGTCAACTTAGGAGAGACTCGACAAGAAGACGAGTAAGAGAGGGGAGATCACGAGCAGTAGATTTTACGGCAGCATGGCAGGAGAAATATTCCAATGTAGGAAAGAGTTGAGAATTGTTCAATCAAATGAGACTTTCCAGTTCTTCACGTTTTTCAACTGTGTATGTGTATCCGACTGGCTTACGTAAAAGAGCTCCGAAATAATAGTGACTGAAGCAGAATATTTTCTCTCTCAAGTGAATGTGTGTCATTCCACACAGTGATGTGTCATTTCCACAGTCACCCAGATCAAGATTCCTTCTGTCTTGGGGTTTTGGTGTCCTCCACAGGTCGATCCCAAGTAGTGGTCCAAGATGGCTGCCCTAACTCTGTCATCAAATCCACATTCCAGTCAATGGGGATAGCACATCGCTTCCAAAGGCAAACCTGGTAGTCGCACACATACTTGCACTAACCTCACATTGGTCAGAACTTGATCATACACACTTGCTAGGGAGTCTCAGAAATCTATTCTTAGTGGTTGGCTGTATGCCAGCTAAAATTAAAACTCCAGTGTTCTATTTCTTCCTTCCCTCACCCCCACAATATTCTATTTCTAAGAGAAGAAGAGACCGGATGTTGGAGAAGGGTTGGCAGTGTCTTCTGCACCACGCCCGGTCTTCCCCCAGGAGTGTGGAAGACAATTTGAACTGGTTCTGCTGTGAATTTCCTTCATGTTCTAAGACACTGCTTGTGATGTTTCCAGATGATGACTCGGAGCCTCCTGAGGAAATGGAGGATGAGATTCCTGTGGTGATTTGTGCTGCTGCAGGGAGAATGGGCGCCGCCATGGCTGCCATCAATAGCATCTACAGCAACACTGACGCCAACATTCTGTTCTATGTTGTCGGACTCCGGAACACTCTGTCTCGAATCCGGTAATTTGTGTACTATAGACTTTGGAGTTTTCTGCTTTCTGTTCATCTTCCGTATCTTAAATGCATTTCCTTCTGTTTTGGGTTTGATGAATGTCGTTTGAATTAATGAGGGGATGACCTCAGGTTTACATGGAGACCTGACAAATGTGTGGCCTAGCTAAGGAAGTTTCCAGCAAAGTCTCATTAATCTGGTAGGGCGATGCATCATTCTGCTGAAGGGAATTGGCTAATGACCTAAAGAACTACAAGCCTTAAACAGGTTATGTGGAAATCTCTCTCTCTTTTTAAAATATTTATTTATTTATTTTGAGAGAGAGAGAGAGAGAGCGAGAGCATTCATGTGCATGAGAGCAGGGGAGGGGCAGAGAGCCAGAGAGAGAGGAGGAGAGACAATCCCAAGCAGGCTCCACACTGTCAGCACAGAGCCCACCATGGGGCTAGATCTCACCAACTGTGAGATCATGACCTGAGCTGAAATTAACCAATTGAGCCATCCAGGCTCCCCGGAAGTCTTTCTAAAATGGTTTCTCTTGGGGTGCCTGGGTGGCTCAGTCGGTTGAGCATCCAACTCTTGATTTGGGCTCAGGTCATGATCCCAGGGTCGTGGGATCTAGCCCCATGTTGGGCTCTGCATTAAGTGTCGAGCCTACTTTGATTCTCTCCCTCTCCTTTTGCCCCTCTCCCTACTCTCTCTCTCTAAAATTTAAAAAAAAAAAAAAAAAAGGTAGAGGGCACCTGGGTGTTTCAGTTGGTTAAGCGTCCAACTTGTGATTTTGGTTCAAGTCATGATCTCATGGTTTTGAGATTGAGCCCTCTGTTGGGCTCAGCAGTGGGCATGGAGCCTGCTTGAGATTCTCTCTCTCCCTCTCCCTCTTCCCCTCCCTCACTTGCTCACATACCCACATTCTCTCTCTCTCTCTCTGAAAAACAAAACAAAAAGTTAACAGTTTCTGCTTTCTTAACCTGGGAAGATATTAATATAGTATCATTTTAAGATGACCAAGAACCATCACTAATTATAACTTTTGAACTGCAAAGTGATCTCTTTCCTATCATACAACACACTAACAAGTAAGTTGGAAACAGATCTAAAAGAAATAAACAGAAGGTCAAATTTTAAATAAAAATGCAGGATAATATATAGTTTTTGCTATGGAAAGTGATTCTGTGAGCCCACAAATCATAAGGAAAAAATGGACAGATTTGACTGCATAACATATAAAAATTTTTTAATGATAAAAAACACTGTAACTGAAATTAATCATACAATAAATTAGGTAAGACATTTTCAATAAATATTACAGACAAAGGGTTACTATCCAAAGTATATAAAGAATTCTGACAAAAAACTTTTAAACATTGCAAGCATCTAGTAGTAAAATGAGCATAGGGGCACCTGGGTGGCTCAGTTGGTTAAGCGTCTGACTTCAGCTCAGGTCATGATCTCGCAGTCCATGGGTTCAAGCCCTGCGTTGGGCTCTGTGCTGATGGCTAGCTCAGAGCCTGGAGCCTGCTTCACGTTCTGTGTCTCCTTCTCTCTCTGACCCTCCCCTGCTCACGCTGTCTCTCTTTCTCTTTCTCTCTCAGAAATAAATAAACATTAAAAAATTTTTTTAAAAAATGGGCTTAGAATACAGACAATTCACAGAAGAAAAAATACAAATGGTCAACAGACGTGAAAAAGTATTCTGTGTTACTAAGAGGGAAATGCAAATCAAAACAACAGTGACGTATAATTTTTCATTCATCAAGATGGTAAACATTCATAGGACAATAATATCTAGTGCAGGAAAATAGACACGCTTATACCTTGTTTAAATAATACACACTTTGTAAATTGGCAATACATTTTGAGGGGCCATACAGCAATATCTAATAAAATTTTATATGCATAGAACTAGTGTAGCCACTGTGGAAAACAGTATGGAAGTTACTCAAAAATTTAAAAATAGAACTACCCTACAAGCCAGTTAATCACACTACTGGGTATTTACCCCCAAAATACAAAAACACTAACTCAAAGCGACAGATGCATCCCTATGTTTATAGCAGCATTATTTGCTACAGCCAAATTATGGAGACAGCCCCAGTTTCCACTGACAGATAAATGGATAAAGAAGATGTGGTATATATGCAACAGGGTGTTATTCTGCCCTAAAAAAGAATGAAATCTTGTCATTTGCAACAACGTGGACGGAGCTAAGGAGTATTATGCTAAATGAAATAAGTCAGTCAGAGAAAGACAAATACCCTATAATTTCACCCATAGGTGGAATGTAAGAAACAAACAAACTAGCAAAGGCAAGAGTGAGAGAGAGAGAGACCAAGAAACAGACTCTTAACTATAGAGAACAAACTGCTGGTTACCAGAGGTGGATGGGGGTGGGGTGGGGAAGGGGGAGATGGGTGAAACATGTGATGGGAATTCAGGAGGGCACTTGGTGTGAGAAGCACTGGGCTATGTATAGAACTGTTGAGTCACTATATTGTACACCTGAAACTAATATTACACTGTATGTTTACTAACTGGAACTTAAAGAAATAAATAAAACTTAAAATAAAAGTGAAAAAATCAAGGGTGCCTGGCTTCCTCAGTTGGTAGAGCACGCGCCTCTTGATCTCAGGGTTGTGAGTTTGAGACCCATGTTGGGTGTAGAGATTACTTAAAAATAAAATCTTAAGGGGGCACCTGAGTGGCTCAGTTAGTTAAATGTCCGACTTCAGCTCAGGTCATGATCTCATGGTTCGTGGGGTTGAGCCCTGCGTCGGGCTCTGTGCTGACAGCTAGCTCAGAGCCTGGAGCCTGTTTCAGATTCTGTATCTCCCTCTTTGACTATCTCCTGTTCATGCTGTCTCTCTCTCTCTCTCTCTCTCTCTCTCTCTCAGAAATAAATAGAAAATTAAAAAAAGATTAAAAAATAAAACAAAACAAAATAAAATCTTAAGAAAAAAACACTCCAAACTATAAATGTGTAGATGTACATATATGTGTTTCTGTAAAGAAAAGGACCCGAAAGATCTCCATCTGCTAGCCTCTCTGGGGAGGGTGGACAGCATGGGGAGAGCAGTGATGAAGGGAGGTACAAGGTATTTCTAGTGCTATTTTCATTATTCAGAAGGAGAATGTATCTTTTTCTAAGTTTATTTATTTATTTTTGGTAACCTCTACACCCAACATGGGGCTTGAACTCATGATTGCAAGATCAAGAGTCACATGCTCTTCCAACTGAGCTTGGCGGGCCCCTGAGAATGTATTTATGCATGGCTTTTACAATTCAATTTTTAAGTCCTAGCACCATTAGGAGATACTGAGATATGGAAGACACTCGCTCCTAATCTAAGTGGTCTTTGGCTCCTATGGGTTTTGAGGGCTTATGTACACGGTCTAGACTTTCTGTCTCATTTCTCACTCTCCTTATCATTTATTGTTGCAGATTGTTCACTTAGCTGCTGTTAACAGCCATGTAATTATCTGTGGGTATGAAAACCAGATAACCAAGCCCCGAAGGGTTGCTTGTGTAATATTTCTGAGCAAGTGTTGTACTTGATCTCAAAGGCATGGGCTCCAGGGCTAGATGACATCTGAGCAGGGACTGGTTCCCAGCTCTTGGTTGTCTTGTCCACTAGCCCTTTTTAAATTATGAAAAACAAAACAAAACAAAACAAAACCTTCTCTTCAGTGGAGTAGAATACAACCACAGAAAATTGCATAAATTCTGTGTGCAGTTTAGTGAGTCATCACAAAGTAAGCATATCCATGTAACAACCACTACCCCAATGTGGTATGGTCAGTCTTTTCTTTTTAATGTTTGTTTGTTTGTTTGTTTTAGAGAGAGGGAGAGATTGTCAGCAGGGGAGGGACAGAGAGAGGGAGACACAGATTCCCAAGCAGGCTCCCCATTGTTAGCACAGAGCCCTACATGGGGCTCAAACTCCAGAACCGTGAGATCATGACATGAACCGGAATCAGGAGTCGGACACTTTGGGTTCCTGGGTGGCTCAATCAGTTAAGTGTCTGACTTCAGCTCAGGTCATGATCTCACAGCTTGTGAGTTTGAGCCCTGCTTTGGGCTCTGTGCCGACAGCTCAGAGCCTGAAGCCTGCTTTGGATTCTGTGTCTCCATCTCTCTCTGCCCCCATCCTCACCTCAAAAATAAATAAACGTTAAAAAAAGAGTTGGATGCTTGAGAGACAGAGCCACCCAGCTGCTCCAGTATGGTCAGTCTTTTTAACTTTGCCATTCTGATAGGTGTCCAGGGCTATCTCATCGTGGTTTAACTTGAGATTCCTTTGTTTCAAATGAGTTTGAGCACTTTTTAAAAAAAAAAAATTTAAGCGTTCTTTTTAAAATGTTTATTTTTGAGAGAGAGAGAGAGAGAGAGAGAGAAGAAAAATGGGGGAGGAGCAGAGAGAGAGGAGATGCAGAATCCGAAGCAGAGTCCAGACTCTATGCTTTCAGCACAGAGCCCGCCACGGGCATCAGACTCACAAACCGTGAGGTCATGACCTGAGCCCAAGTCAGATTCTTGACCAACTGATCCAAAAGTGCTCCGAGCACTTTTGTTTTTTTTTCACAGATTTCTTGGCCACTTAGATGTGCATGTTCAAGTCTCTTGCCAAATTTTCAGTAGGGTTGTCTTTTTCTTAAATGACATGACTTCTCCCCACCTCCAGATTTGAAATATAATTGCTATAGGGGGCCTGGGTGGCTTAGTCAGTTGGGCATCCAACTTTCGCTTAGGTCATGATCTTGCGGTTCGTGGGTTCGAGCCCCATGTCGGGCTATGTGCTGACAGCCAGCTCAGAGCCTGGAGCCTGTTTCAGTCTGTGACTCCCTCTCTCTCTGACCCTCCCCTGCTCACGCTGTCTCTCTCTCTCTCCTAGAAATAAATAAAAAACATTAAAAAAAAAGAAATATAATTGCTATATAACGTTATGTAAATGGCTGGTTTTGATGGTTCAAATTTTGCAGATCTAAATTTTATTACGAAGACTGACTTTTTTGTCAAATTTTGAGCACCAACAAATGGTACCACGTGTGGCTTTAGTCAATAACAATTGTTTTGAGATAATTTCTGCCAAGAATTGTTTTCTGAATGGGATAAAAGATAGTCACAGACTGTGAGTCTGAGGTGAGGGGAGATGGTGGGGAGAGGGGGGAGGGGAAGGCGGGAAGCGAGGAAAGGTGGGGAACATTGGGAGACAGAGACACAGAGGCCACGATAACTTCAGATCATCCTTGGGGTCACAACAGCAGAGGAAGAATGACTTCCATCAAATAGAAGATTCTATTTGAAGCACGTCCTGCTTCATCACTTCACAAGTCTGGCAGCCCCGTGGCAAATGGGTACCAGCAACCACAGATGCTCCTTTATAAAAAAGAAGGAACACATTTTGTTCTCCCAGTTTCCTGTGGAGATTATGTGGATCTGGGGAGATATCTGGTTATTACTGTTTTTGCTTCATTTCCTTTGCAGAGTTATATGAATTAAAGAAAAAAGAGAGGAGAGATCTGAAGCCAGACCAGATGGGGGAAAAAATCAGAAGGCTTTATATACTAAACTCTACTGTTATACACATTTTATTTTTAACTTTCGAAGGAGGCCACAGATAGACCCTGAGGCAATAGGGAAATTGAGGAAAAAGGTTGGAGGTATATACTTACACTCCAAGGTTGGAGGGTTTTTTGTTTGTTTTTTTGTCATCTCTTGAGAAAATGGATTGAACATTCTAAACTAAGAGAAATAAACTTTGTTTTTTGTCATGTCTTTAGAAAGTGGATTGAACATTCTAAACTAAGAGAAATAAATTTTAAAATCGTGGAATTCAACCCGACAGTCCTCAAAGGGAAGATCAGACCAGACTCTTCAAGGCCAGAATTGCTCCAGCCTGTGAGTAGGAATCGAGCATGCGCTGGGGACAGTCTTTGGTGAGACCCTTGCTCAGTGCGGAGCACTGGCCACTGGGATGCAGACAGAATATTTCTGAAGCAGCGTTAGATTTCCACCAAGCTCTGCTTATTTATAATTTATAAGCCACTGCTCCGGAAGATGGTTTACATAAATATAATGAAGCTATTAAAGCAGAAATGAAGTGTAAGAAAATGTAGGATGCATTTCGGTGTGTGAATATGCCTGTAGGGGATGGGGATAGGGGCCAAATAGTGAGGCCAGGAAAAATATTCTCAACCCATAGCGTGTTATGTGTGCTGTAACTGGACATTGAATTTAGCCTGGAGTATCCTGGCCGCTAAGGGAAACCAGTAGCATGATAGAGGATATACCTCATAGTATCAGCTAAGATAATATTTCAGGTGACCCTCACTTTTCCTCCTAGAATTGGGGATCGTAAGGTATTTTACTGCAAGAATTCATACAAAAGGGACTCTCTCTTACATGAAGAGTAGTATTGACAGCAGGTTCACAGAAAATGCAGCCGCTTTCTACATGTTTGTTACATCCATCCTTGAAAACTTACTGAATTCTATGTCCTCTCATGACATGATCTTTTCCCAGTTCCCTGTATTTATGATCAGAGTGTGAGCTGAGCTGGGACTTTGGGTTCGGTAGTGTTATGGCTAATAAGACAAAGTACTTTCACCCTCAGCTCATGCTTGTCTGACTTTTTTCTGGTCCACGGTGCTAAGAGGTTGAGCTCGTGATTGGGATGATGCCCGTGTGTGTGTGTGTGTGTGTGTGTGTGTGTGTAAGGCTGATTTAGTTGATGGTAGTCAAATTACTAGTGTAGAGGAGGGCAGGGACTTTGTGTCCTAAAAGATCAACCAGGAGGCCTCTGTGACTTCCACTACAGTGGCTCACAGAGATCAAAGTCATGGCTCAGTCTTGGCAGATGAGGGTTTGGGTCTAGGAGAGCCCTGATGGGCCCGTGTCAGTTGCAGCCCGAGGCCAGATAACTGGGAACCAGGAAGCTGCCGTGAGGCATCTTTGGGCTTGTTTCTTTTGCTCCACACCTGGAGCAGAGCTGAGGCCATGGTCAAAGGCACCCTCTAAGAGCACTAGAAGACACTGAGCCACGTGCCTCTTACCCACCATCACTTTTTCTTGTTTTGTTTTAACAGCTGAACTTTGTTCGCTTTTATCTCCCTCTGCTTATCCATCAACATGAGAAAGTCATCTATTTGGACGATGACGTAATTGTGCAAGGTATACATGCCGACTGCCAAGGACACTCTGAAAACGAGCATCCGATAAGTAGAATCTAACTATTTCCTTCAGCTTCCAAATAGCTAGATGCCCAGCGACTGTGACTGCGTGTTCAAGTCGGGAGAACAGTATTGTTATACATTTGGGAATGTTTTGAAAACGGGGCTTGATGCTTGCTTCCCTGGACAGTCCAGTTGACTGAGAGCCACTTTTGACTGTCAAAGTCAGTAATAAATAGCTCAGTAACCTTTCCTTTCTCTGCATCCCTAAAATGTAGAGGAATAAAGTCTCCCTGATGACATTCTAGAAAGCGAGCTACGTTTTGGTGTCTAAGTGTCGCCCGCTCTCTCTCTCCCATGCAGACAAGGTAGGCACTGGTGTGGTACCTACATGGCAACAGAAGTAAAGACATGAACCCAGTGCCCATCTGAGCTTATCATCAAGTGACCTTCTCAATCGAGACCAGCCATGTTATTAAGTAAACCGCCAGGCCACTCGAAACTCGGATCACATACCTTTCCTCCAATAGCAAAATCAGGGACTGTTGGACAATTTAAGGCTCTATCTAGCTCAGAGCCAAATGCTATACTATTTTAACTACTGGTGTTTTCCGCATCCAGGTGATATCCAGGAGCTCTATGACACCACTTTGGCGCTGGGCCACGCGGCGGCTTTTTCGGATGACTGTGATCTGCCCTCGGCTCAGGACATGAACAGATTCGTGGGGCTGCAGGTGGGCGCGCTGGTGTGGAGGTGCTGCCTTCGCCCTGCTGTTCCCTTCCCTTCTGCGCAGCACACAACCATCTAACCTTGGAGGACAGCACGGGGGCCTGGGCTGCCCATTGGGCCCCAGCTCTGCGGGTCCCAACTCTGGGGCAGGTTAACCCTGCGAGTCCCGCTCTCCTCATCTGAAACATGGCAACAGCAGTCCCTGCTCTGTTTGTTTGTGAGCTGTGATGAAATAACACAACGCCAGCGCCCCAGCCTGCAGTAATGCTACAGAAATGACAATTGTGACCTAACTGGCAGGAACGACCCTCCCTGTCCGAGATGGGGATTCCTATAAGAGAGTCCCTGGACTTGTGGTTCTGTTTTCAGAGTTTTGATCATTGCTTTTTTTTTTCTTTCTTTCTTTCAATAGAGGAAAATCCCAATTTGGCTCAAGGGTAGAGAGCAACTTACCCTGGTGCCAATGAGGGAAGTTGAACCTATATGTAATACCGAAACCAAAAGAATGGCTTTAAACTAGAAGGTGTTATTAAGAATCAAATGCTGTTCTTTAAAAAAAGTTCCAGGACATCACTTTAGACGTGTGACAGTAGAGGTGTGACACACTCTGAGGCCTAGGCTTTCAGGTGGATCTTCGTCAACAGCTTGGCTCCATCACTTAGTAGGCTTGTAGCCCGGGGCCCTGCCTTACCAGTCCTTTCCTCCCTCAGTTGTCAGAGGTAATACTCGAACTTCCCTCGTAGAGTTATGGTGAGAATTAAATGTTAATATGTGTAAAGCTACTGTGTGCAATTAGCGAGGTAATGTGTGCAGATTTCCTAGAGCTGCGCCTGGCACGTAGAAACTGCTTGAGTGTGTCCACGATTTCCGAGTTGCTCTTGGGCATCACACTGAGGTTGAGGTGGATTATGACAGCCTGTATGGCTGGAACAGTAATGTCCTGCCTCCTATGACAGCCACTCCGCAACTACCCGTGTGCTTATGATGTGCTGATGCTGTTTTAGGTCCCAGCGGTACAGTAAACAAAACTAAAAATCCTGCCTTTGGGTAGCTTACATGTTAGTGGGAAGAGACAGTCAGTAAACAAAATATTTAACACAGGATCAGGGTGCAGGTTGCACTGTATCTTAAATTCGTGATCAGGGAAGGCTCCCCTGACACGGTGTCGCCGAGCCTGCACGTAAAAGAACTGAGGGAACAAGCTCGGCAGATGTCTAGGGGGATATCATTCCAAGAAGTGGTAACCGTAAGTGCAAAGGTCCTGAGGCAGGAGTGTGTCTTTCTTTTATTGAAGGAACAAGGAGGTCAAGGTGGCAGAGGGAAACAGTGTGAGAATAGGTTAGAAAGGTAAAGGCGGTGGTGGCAAATGGCATAGGGCACAGCAACACATCTTAGGAACTCTGGCTTTTACTGAGATGGAAAGCCACTGGAGAAGCTTTGAGCAGATGAATAACATAGAGACAGAGTGAAGTTGAAAAGGGGGAAGCAGGAGCAGTGTCAGAGGAGCTCGGGGACATCCTGTGAGTGGCAATTACGGCCTGGACCAGGAAGGTAGCGACACACACAGTGGTTGGCTTATAGATACATTCTGGAAGACGAAACAAACAGGACTTGCTGACAGATATGGATGCAGAGTGAGTGTGAAGGGGCCACGGAGGACCTGACAACCCTGGGTCTTTTTGCCCAAGTAACTAGGAGACTAGCATTGTGGTAACTGAGGCGGGTCAGGTTGCGGGGAAGTGAGTTTGGGGATGGGGATGGGGTGTTGGGCTGTGAGCAGCGCTGCCGCAGTAAGCGTCCAGGAGGACACACCGAGCTGGCAGGTGGCGCAGGCTTTGGAGATCCAGAGGCGAGGTCAAGGCTGGCGATGCGGGTAGTATTTTGGGTCACGAGGCTGGGGGAGGCTGTCTGGGGAGTGCGTGCCGGAGATGGGAACAGGGCTGGTGGGGAGACGAAGGAGCACTCAACCTTTAGGGCGTGGGGCAGCGAGAAAGCCAGCAGAGGACACTCGGAAGCGGCTGGTGACACAGGAGGAAACCCGCATATACTGCCCTGTGGTTTCAAGAAAATGATGGTTTTCCAGAAGCGAAAGATGTGTTGGTGAAAAGTGTATCCTGTTCCTCTACAGAACACCTACATGGGCTACCTGGACTACAGGAAGAAGACCATAAAAGACCTCGGCATAAGCCCGAGCACTTGCTCTTTCAACCCCGGCGTGATCGTTGCGAACATGACGGAGTGGAAGCACCAGCGTATCACCAAACAACTGGAGAAATGGATGCAAAAAAATGTGGAGTACGTGTAAACCTTTCTACCCTTCTCCAGGCTTGGGAACAAAATTTCGTGATTAATCTTCTACTCATAACTCAGGGGTTAGAAATATTTCACAGACATCTTAGGTCAGATTTGCTTACAGAGGCCTGGGTGAGAAGGGGGACAGCAGATGACGGTCTCTTCTCAAACTGTATGTCGGTGGAAGTGAGATCTGCAGCGTCTGGTTATACAAACACGTTTCTAATGAATTGATAATGCGATTAAAAAAATTTTTTTTTAATGTTTTATTTATTTCTGAGAGAGAGAGAGAGAGGGACAGTGTGGACAAGGGAGGGTCTGAGAGAGGAGACACAGAATTCGAAGCAGGCTCCAGGCTGTCAGCACAGAGCCCGACATGGGGCTCGAACCCATGAACCGAGATCATGACCTGAGCCGAAGTCGGACGCTTAACCAACTGAGGCACCCAGGTGCCCCTGATAATGCGATTTTAAGTCTCCTCCCAGAATCCCAGTGAACCTTTTCCACTGAAAATCATTTCTCAGTTGAGTGTCTTCTTACATAAATTTGTTTTGAAGAATTATTTTATAAACTCCGGGGCGCTTGGGTGGTTCACTCGGTTGGGCCTCCGACTCGATTTCAGCTCAGGTCATGATCACAGTTTCACGAATTCGAGCCCCGAGTCAGGCTCTGCCCTGACAGAGGGGAACAACTTGAGATTCTCCTTCTCTCTCTGTCCCTCCCCCTTTCGCAACCTGTCTCTCTCAGAATAAATAAAGTTAAAAAGAATTATTTTATAAACTCAACTTTGGTTTTGGAAGTTGAGTTTTTAAAAATGTATCATTTTTCATTATCGAAGTTTTAAAACATGGGGGGGGAACCCTCCAACATAACTGCTATTATCATGTCACTGTATTTCCTGTTCATCTTTTCTATCTGGATATTTTAAATACCATCATAGCTTTGAATTTGTGAGTAAAGTTATTCTAAATAATGTAGGATCAGAATCTGATCTTCAGTATTTGCCGTAAAAAAGGATAAAAACGAAAATGGCAAAATGCTACACTGTGAGTCTGGGTGAAGGATATGGGCATTCATGGTATCCTTCTTACAATTCTGTGTTAAGTCTGACAGTTTTCAGAACAAAGAGTTGGAGGAACAAGAAAAACCATAGTCTTGTTATATAGTGAGAGACAGTCTCCACATCTTTCAGAATTAGTAGATTCTACTTTATCTGAGTCTGTGGGACTCCAGGCCAAATGTCGTTTTTCTATTCCGTTTCTTAGGGAAAATCTGTATAGCAGCTCGCTGGGAGGTGGGGTGGCCACCTCCCCGATGCTGATCGTGTTTCACGGGAAATACTCCACAATCAACCCTCTGTGGCACATAAGGCACCTGGGTAAGTACTTTAGGAAAGGCACCTGGGTATTTTAGGAACACAACACAGATATGCATGTTACAGGCCTACGAGCACAAGGGGAGGAGGGTGTGCTGTGACACCAGCTTCCTCGAATCGAGTCCTCCGGGTGATCTTGGACCCGTTATTTAACTTCCGCTACTCAGTCTACAAATGCAGCTGACAACACAGGCCTTCCGGAGAGCTGTGTTTCTAGGAATTCATGGAAAGCAATCAGACTCATGCTTAGGATCTAGTAGGTGCTTGATGAACATTAGCTATTATTAAAACAGAACTTGCACTGTCGAAACTTTTTCGCTTGTCTTCATCGCCCTCTTGCAGCAGCCTGCAGTGGACAAAACCAATTAGTAAATGGTTTATGATGAATTTAGATAGCTGGCAACTTATCTTTTGAAAAGAAGTTGTTTCTGGATTGTGTACTAGGAGTCTTTCATACACTCTTCATTACAAGTGCGCAGGCTCCTGGATATGGACTGGAATCCCAGTTCTGCTATTATCTATGTTGGGCAAAACCCTTCTGTGCCTTAGTTTCTCCATTCGTAAACTGAAGCTAATAGAACTGTATAAAGCTTTTATAAGGAATAAATTACCTAATACATGTAAACCGCTTGGAACACAGCCTGGCCCGATGACAGTCACATTCATTCAAACATATGGCCACAATCCCTTAGCCAAAAGCACTGGGCCAGACCTGTTTAGAAATTGCAAAGTTTTGGATTTCAAAAATGTAATGCATATATTTATGTCATGCAATACCCTGAGTGGGATCTAGGTTTTGCTACCAAAAAAATTAAAAATCCTTTTGTTTTCAGACACTCGAAGATTATTTTAGAACTGGGGACAATAGGGGCGCCTGGGTGGCTTAGTCAGTTAAGCGTCTGACTTTTGCTTAGGTCATGATCTCGTGGTTCGTGGGTTCGAGCCCCGCGTCGGGCTCTGTGCTGACTGCCAGCTCAGAGCCTGGAGCCTGTTTCGGTCTGTGACNCCCGCGTCGGGCTCTGTGCTGACTGCCAGCTCAGAGCCTGGAGCCTGTTTCGGTCTGTGACTCCCTCTCTCTCTGACCCTCCCCTGCTCACGCTCGCTCTCTCCTAGAAATAAAAAAAAAAAAAAAAAAAAAAAAGAATTGGGGACAATAGATTATGGATGTAGGTTTCCTAAGTACCTTCTACATTGTTAAGAAATGGTTCGATTCTGGTGATAAAGGTGAATATTACTTGTAATTCTCAGAACGATCTGCAAGGTGGTATGTCCCTTACCTTTTAAAAGAAAGGACACATAAAACTACAGAAGCTGGGTTCCTGTCTCCTTTTCATGATTCTGTATAGGTTTGCTTCTGCCTCACTCCAGAATGCTCCTCAACTTTCTGATTGCACACAGGAACAACACAGGGAAGTTAAGGATGCTAGTGTTCCATCTGATCTGATTTATAATGGTGGGTTCACTGTTTGGACAAATATCAACATTTCCATGTCATCAAGGTGCAGAAAATCTCATCAAAGTTGTGTGTCTATAAAAAATGTAGTGGAACTTAGATGGATAAGGTTAGAGCATTCTATGATCTTGGAACAGAGACTCAGTCACATTTCATGAAATATCTAACTGGTAAGTAGGAAGGGGCAGAATCTTCCCAAGGGAAAGAAGTCATTTCTCTTTATAGACAGAAATTACATCTGTGTTGAAGGTTTTGGAATCCGGGAAGCCTGCGAAGTAAATCTACACAGAAATCATTTGAAAAATGATTTGGTTGTAGAGTGTTTTGGAAGCAGGAAGCAATGTAACATTAATGGGTATTAAGTTTGTGTCTAAGCTGGTAGGCTTAAGATGTAAAAAAAAAAGTATGAAATGTATTTAGCTCAAGCAAATTTCAAGCCCACAGAGAATCCTCCGGTTGTGGAGCAGAGAGATGATGTGTCACTGAGTGGAGACTCTAAGCTGCTTCTTCCGGGGGCGCCTGCGTGGCTCAGTCAGTTAAGCATCCAGCTCTTGATACCAGCCCAGGTCATGGTCTCATGGTTCACAGGATTGAGACCCGTGTGGGGCTCCACACTTAAAGTGCAGGACCTGCTTGAGATTCCCTCTCTTCCTCTCTCTCTGCCCCTCCCTGGCTTGTGCTCTAAAATTAATAAACATTAAAAAAAAATTACGGGCGCCTGGGTGGCTCAGCTGGTTAAGCATCCGACTTTGGCGCAGGTCATGGTCTCACAGTTCGTGAGTCTGAGCCCAGCATCAGGCTCTGTGCTGACAGCTTGGAGCCTGCTTAGAATTCTGTGTCTCCTCTCTCTGCCCCTCCCCCACTCATGCTCTGTCTCCCTCAAAAATAAACATTAAAAAAAAATTAAGGTGCTTCTTCCCAAATGAACATTTCCTTTGTATAGATTCTTTGGAAATTGTTCATTATTCCAGTTACATTACCATGGCCTGAAACACCCACCTTCTCTTCTGTAACTGCCTTCACAGCTACATTTATGAATAACAGAAGATGGGTTTTTATTTTTATTTTTCTTGTATCACATTCTCAAGATCTTAAAGTATTTCTGGAAGAGATGTTCTAAAAATATTCTGAGCAATGGCAATTTTAAGATAAACGCACCCTCTCTCTTTATGAGCGGAAAAATATTCAAATGGAGATAGCTTTGTTAAAAAGTGAATCTCATTCTTTGTCACATTTCATAGAGTAAAAACATGACTGTTATGGGAAAATGTTGTCATTCACACTAAGGAGGGAAAATGCAGGGAAACAAGAACTCCTCTAAACTCTAGGTGGGAGGAAAACTGATCCAAGTTCTTGTGGGAACAATCTGGCAACCTCTTACCAAATGTAAAGGCATGCACCCTTCAATATAGCAAGTCCATCTACAAGATTTTATCCTATAAATGTATCTGCAGACCCGCACCAACCTGCACAAGGGCCTGTTCGCTGTACCACCACATATGTTAGTGAGGGGAGAGAAACAACCGAAAGGTCCTTAATAAGGAACTCACTAAATAAATGATTATATATCCATTCCATGTAGTCACTAAAAATAATTCATTAACTTCAGGGGGACTGGATGGCTCAGTTGGTTAAGCACCTGACACTTGATTTTGGCTCAGGTCATGATCTCACAGTTTGTGGGTTCAAGCCCCACATTAGTCTCTGTGCTGTCAGCTCAGAGCCTGCTTTGGATTATCTCCCTCCCTCCCCCTCTCTCTCAAAAATAAACATTTAAAAACAATTCAGCAACTTCACATGTGCTATATAACACACACACACACACACACACACACACACACACACACACACGCGCGCACGCGCGCGCATACAGGTAGAATATTCCTAGAAGGATTTCATGAGAAACTCTGACAGTGGTTATTTTGGAGATTTAGGGTAGGTGGTAAATTCTTTCTTGTTATACTCTTTGATTTGCTTAATTTTTTAAATAATGAACTTGTATTCATTCAATATAAAAATTTTATTTTCTAACAATCCTATTATTTTCTTCTGAATACAATGAAGGCTGGAATCCAGATACGAGATATTCGGAGCATTTTCTGCAGGAAGCAAAACTACTCCACTGGAATGGAAGACATAAACCCTGGGACTTCCCTAGTGTTCACAACGACTTATGGGAAAGCTGGTTTGTTCCTGACCCCGCAGGGATATTTAAACTCCATCACCACAGCAGCTGATGTAACATTTTATATATTTCCTGTATAAAAATGTGGAATTGTCCATTCATAAGCCCTACTATATCATTGTTCTTTATAAACAGTACTTTTGGTGTAAATGATCCACAATGAAAAGCACAAAGACTACTTGGGCAAAGAATATCCTGGATTATGTAGGTACTGATTCCTTAAGTATAAGTGGTGACTATGGAAATCAAGATGATGTGAGCAAGAGATGTTGTTGGAAGGAAATAAACCCGTCTAGGTTTCGACAATCTATCAATGACAACCTATATCCACAAGTTTTTAAAATTTCTCAATGTGTTTTTCACATGTAGGTATTTTTTTTTAACAGGTTGCCAGTCTTGTCTTTTGTAAAACAACAAACTACATTTAAAAGATGAATGTATGTAAAAATAAAATACTGGCAGATTTTTAAATAATTTGCAGTATATATGTTATTCTACATGTTAAACATAATACAAGGTAGACGGATTTCAGGTGTAAAGGGGGAAAGAATCCCAGTCACTTTTGCCGCAGAAAAACCTGCAACTTAGGATAATCACTTGGTATTTTTATTGTAAAAACCATCAGACTTCCAAATGATTTAAAAACCTTTCCAATATTATTTAATGAAAAAGTCTTACATTGTCACATATAAGATATATCAGCGTGTACTACTCATCCATCATATGTAATGAAAAACACCACTGTTGTATGCTTGGAAAATCCTCCAACCCATTCTCTAATGAGTGTCTGTTATAATTTAAAGGGTATTTTCTCCACTCAAATTAAAAAAAGAATCTATTGTAAGGTTACAATCATTTTTTACCAAAGCAATTCCTACTTACATGCTTCACATAGTCTCATGAAAAAATAATTCCATTGTTCCTAATCCCTGATGCAAGGCACTTCATAGCACCCGCATGAAACACCGATGTAAACAGCAGTACAGTACAGGAGTTAAATAACATGAGTGACTTTCACACAGCTTGACCTAGACTAAAGGAAATATAAAATCCGTAAGAGCCACAGCTAAAAAGTATGTTAAGATTCACAAGAATTTGTTTCTCTTATTATATAGAGAAGAACAGGCCATATAATCTCTTAGGGAAAAAACCTCATAAATATTTTCATCTCGAAAACCAGTGTGCTCCCTGGGTCTGCATGAAATCAGGGTCTTCAGAAGTGACCAGAAGTAACTGCAGATGGCATTTCTGAATACCCAGCTTTACTATCCACCAGACCAAGTAGTCTGGACTCTCTGTAGCACCATGGAAAAGGCATTAAAAAATCACAAAAGTATGTTACTTCAAACTAACCCTGCCACGAGGCTCACTTAGTCCACAGTAACAGACAGCAATGACGCAGAGAACATTTTTTAAGTTCCTGCTTATTAGATTTATGTAGCAAGGAAAATTGTTATTTTAATACATCTCACGTACATAAAGCACCAGTTTAAATAAGATTATCAAACACCCCCATCATCTTGTTGCTCAGCCTGAGTTCATTTCTCACCACCTTCCACGTTACACCCTTAAAGCCCAGGAGGTGCTAGACACTGTTAAGAAAAATTCAGTTACTTCCCTGTCAAATGTATGTCTCTCAAGTAAAACACGGAGGAAGTAGCAGCCTCTAAAAGGTCGACTGCATTCTCTGGAACTTACCATCCCAGCAGAGCAGTTTCTGCCTGTACTAGAGGATTACCACGCAGGGGTGAGGAGGCCAAAGGCAGGGCTCGGTGCCCTGTCAGAGGAGGCCGGGTTAGCCTTGCTGCCGGAAGGCCACACTTGACATTGCTACTGCTGAGCAACTCTCCCAAACACTTCCTGCTCGGGAGGCCAAGGGGTCTGAGGGTGAACACGCCTCAGGGAGCCCATCAAAGCCCGCTAAACACCACCCAATGGGACTCCACTGTGGGCTAACTTCACATATGGAATTCAACACATCTGCCTCTTTACCAGCGGTAACTATTATTCGCGTGCCCTTCTGAGGCACGCTAAGGAATAATGGTATATCTGGGTTTATGCACAATTCATAATCAAGTATAAATATTCACACAACTGCATTTTAAAATTACAGATTAAAAGTGATTCCCCAAAGAAAGTCAATTTCTTCATAATGAAATATACTTTATAAAAAGCTGGAATGGTGGTTAATTCAAATACAAAAACTCAAAAATCCGTGCTTTTTCCTTCCAAACTTACTTAGGTTCATACAGTTGATTCTCCCACGCAACCGTATTACGATTCTATCACCAGAATAAAATACTAATAAAATGCTTCAGTTAGCAAACTGATAGCCACTCTTGACAACTGCAATAAAACTGCAGCATTTAGGTAGAGCTGAGAGACACGAGTCTTAAGCATGGTTTCCTTCTTCCTGTTCTTGCATCCCACAGTGATTATTAAAGGACGGAATCTGGTCTGTAAACGACTGGGTCATCCACTGCCCATTTGGAATGTCACTGAACGCTGATTCTCCACTGTCTGCTGCCAGGAGGGAGAAGAATGTTAGTTCATTCCATCGAAAAGCTTTACACGATTCATCAAGAGATGTTTGGGGGCACCTAGGTGGCTCAGTCGGTTAAGAGTCCAACTTCAGCTCAGGTCATGATCTCATGGTTTGTGGGTTCGAGCCCCACGCTGGGCTCTGTGCTGACTGCCAGCTCAGAGCCTGGAGCCTGTTTCAGATTCTGTATCCCCTTCTCTCTCTGACCCTCCCCTGCTCACACTGTCTCTCTCTCTCTCTCTCTCTCTCTCAGAAATAAATTAAAAAAAAAACATTAAAAAAAAAAGATGTTTTGCAGTCCAATGAAGGGGGACTGCTGTTAAAATAGCAAGCTTCTTGAATACAATAAGTTTCTGTTCTCTCGGCAGATAGGGGACTAAGAAACCCTTACTTGTTATTCAAGGAGAGAATGTGATTAGATGACTTAATGACTTAATTAAAATAAGCTGTTAACACTGACAAAGTGAAACCTCAGATAACCCTCACATTTCACTATCAGTCATTAACAAGATTTTCATAGTACCATTCCCACCCTTCAGTGACTCATTCTCTTTTAAAAAATAAAGCACATTTCCCCAGGCCTGACAAAACCAAGGGTTTGAAAGAAACAAACAGGGAGGGGCTCCTGGGTGGCTCAGTCAGTTGAGCCTCTGACTCTTGATTTTGGCTCAGGTCATGATACCAGGCCAGGGTCGTGAGATGGAGTCCTGCTGCAGGCTCTGCACTGGGTGTGGAACCTGCTTGAGATTCTTTCTCCTTCTGCCCACCCCGGCTTGTGTGCATGACCGCTCTCTCGCTCTAAGAAAGGAAAGAGAGAGAGAAAGAGAAAGAAAGAAAAGAAAAGAAACAAGAAAAAAGAAACTACCACACCAAAAGGAACATACTTAGCCCATTGGAAGAGAAGCCGCAAGGGTCACTATTGCACAGATTTTCAGCATAAGCACCGCCATACGCTGCTTCGTAACCTGGATCGTATTTTTCTTCCTTAACAGCCATCTTCTTTGCATCCTCTGTGGAGAGGGTAAAAGGGGTTTAAAACTGATTTTGTACAACAGTTTTGAAAACATCTTAATCAGACATCCTCGCAAACAAATCTTTTTCCTGAATCTTCAAGTGTGTGTGTGCAGAGATAGATCTTTGTTGTCATTTTTTAAACTCTTCATAACATTTACGAAATTAACTCACAGGGCCTGTAAAAGCCTGTCAGACTTAACTTCAGCGAGGCCACAATGTTCTTTTGGTCTTCAGCATCTGCAGGAACGCCCACGACAGACGGATGACTTTGAGAAAAGGAGACTTGAACAGTGCCTACCATCCGTCGTCAGACAGTACAACATAACCGTTCTCTCTCCTGCTGTTAGCCCCACAGCTGCTTTCAGTACATATGTATCCACGACGTGCAGAAACAGGGTGAAGATGGGAACATACCTTGGGCCAGCTGGAGATCAAATGTATATTGCACCTCTTGAACATCTGTGTTTCGTTCAATGCCTTTCAATTGATCTCGTAAGTCTTTCAGCTTAATGTAGTAATGAACTTTGTCCTGGGCTCGAGGAAACTGAGCACATCTTGCACTCGATGATGGCATAACGTAGCAGAGCTAGAATCATAAAAGTTTACAGTTACGTAAATCTTACAAGTCTACTGAGTCCACTCACACTGAGAATAAAAAATTTTTCTTTGGGGGGATTAATTATGACGCCTATCACATATTAATATATGTAAAATCAATAAAAGTGGTTGTGTCTCAAGTTCAAATTTGTAAACTTTACTTATTACAAAGTCAATAAATCAAAAACAATGAGGCTTTCCCCCATGTTCATTTACCAATTAACAGTCTTGTCTTTTTAAAGGTAAACATATGGTTCACAATTCTAAAGGCACAAAAGCACACAGAAGCATTCAAAGCCCAAAAGTCTTCCTGCCCAATTCTGTCTCTATCAACCTAGTTCTCTTCCAGAGGCAATCAAAGTTGGCTGGTTCCAGAGGTATGCTATGAATAAGAAATCAAATGTCTCCAATGTATGTACTCTCCCTCACGAGAATATGTTGTTTATTCCCTGTTCTATACCTTGCTTTTTTACTCAACAATGTATTCAGAGACAATTCTGTATCAGGTATCTAGAACAGAGTAAGACTTTTTTTTTTAATGTTTTATTTATTTTTGAGAGAGAAAAAGACACAGAGACAGAGCATGAGCAAGGGAGGGTCAGAGAGAGAAGGAGACACAGAACCCGAAGCAGGCTCCAGGCTCTCAGCTGTTAGCACAGAGCCCAATTTGGGGCTCAAACTCACAAACCGTGAGATCATGACCTGAGCTGAAGTCAGACGCCTAACCAACTGAGCCACCCAGGCGCCCCAAGACTTTCTTTTTCTGCGGCTGTGTAGTACTTGAGTACTTATTTAACCAAAGCCCAGCTGTGGGCATTTAGGTTGTTTCCAGTCTTTTATTATTATAAGGTGTAGTGAAAAATCTTGTACATATTTCATTTTGAATATGAGTGAGTGTATCTCTTAGATAAATTCCTAGAAGTGGAATGCCCAGGAGAAAGACATTTGCATTTACCGTTTTGGATAATGGTGACAAATTGTCCTTCATAGAATACTAAATATATAAATATATATATCACATATATATCAAAGAGCGAGGTTGCTAGATTATGGAATTTCCAGTTGCAATTTCTTGCAACTTTTATACTGGCCTCCATAACATTATAGAAAACAAATTATTCTTTTTCTTTTGTGTAGAAAGCATTTGGAAACTCCTGACTCATAAAGATATATAGGTACAAATGCTACCAGGTTTTTTAATAGCACATTTTCAAATCCCAAGGTATTCTTCAATTAAAATGATCCAGAAATTTTGTTTCAAATGAGAATCACTAACATCAACAACTGTGAAAATTTCATGATAAAGAATATA